CAGTAGGACTACACTAAGCAAGAGAATTTCAGTGAACGTCTGCATATGGTTATAAACTCTGACATTAGCACTCAGCATGGTTGGTCACCTAACAGGCTCCTCAAAAAGAATCCATAAGGGTTGGTGTCGTGTCGAACCCCACCCCTCCCAATTTATTAAAGTGCTGAACATGCTTGGAAACAATGGGCGAAACAAAGCTGTAGCCATCTGCCAAATTTTTTTCCCACTGGAATGACTCTGGACTCTGTTAAACAGACCTTCAGAAAAGAAAATATTGGGCCACTGCAGTCATGCCCAGCAGTTCATTGTGTGTGCACCACCCTCATAAAAAATGTTAAGAAGAATAATGAATCCCTACCCACTGCCACCTTAGACATATAGTGAGTGGAAGGAGGATTAATGAATCCCTACCCACTGCTGCCTTAGACATATAGTGAGTGGAAGGAGGATAGCCTGTACTGTATTCTGTTACTGTTACTCATTTTGCCTGAGACCCTCTTGAAGGTGCTATTCACCCTCAGTATTGTCTTTCCTTTATTAGGTAGTAAGAGAATATTATTCAAATAACTGTATATTGACAATAAAACAAGAAAGCGGGTGACAGGACTCAGGGGAAATGTGGAATTATCCCTGAGATTTTAAAAGCATCTGGTTTTATCTAAAGCAGATTAATTAGTTATTTTTCATTATCATCATCATAGTCATCTTCATTATTGTCAGCAAATCTTATCTACATATACAAGATCTGTGCTGAAATTATACCACGCCCCAAATAGTTTTTTGTAAAATATTCGCACAGCTTTTTATTACAAAATTAAATCAGCAAATACTTCCTCCGATTACACATGTCCAGTCTTTGTCTTCCTTATTACTGGGAGCAAGATTTGTTTTTACATAATTTAGCAGATTAACAATTAAAGTGCACTCCCTTAAAATGTTCTTGGAAGCAAGTTCCACTAAAGCCAGCTAGAATCTATTCAAGAGGACAGAAGAAGAGACCACCTTTGCATGGTGAACACTCATGTGTCTCTCGGAAGCCCACAGGCAGGGTAAGAAAGCCATAGTCCCTTGGTTTTTTTTTTTTGTTCCAACAGACTTTAGATACCATTGTTAACAGCTATGGACACCTCTCTCTTTGTTCAGATGGCTTCTGCTGCAGATATATAGTGCTCCTTGATAGCAATGTTGGGGGACTCTTTGTGCTGTGATACCTCACCATTGGCAAGACTGGAGAACTGGAGCTCAACATCATCCAACGAAGACAAGTTAGCCATATGTTCTTAGATTCTGTGTTGCCTCCTGCCACACACTGCATTGACAGCTGGAGGGGGTACATTAAAAAAGAATAATATAAAAAAAACTAGTAGGCATCCTTCAGTCTCGAAAGACTATGGTAATGTGCTCTGAATAGAGGTCTTGGAACAGCATCTAGTGTGGCTGAGAAGGCCAATTTGAGAGTGACAATCCCTTCCACACTGAAGACAAATACAATCTGTCCCCTGTCCAGCTCCCTGATTTTCCTGGTTTCAGGACTGCCTCTTTGCCTCAGCCTATTGAACAAGTGTCTCTTCAAATTGGGAGAGGCCATGATGCACCGCCTGCCTCCAGGCTGAACACTCAGGGGTCAAGGTTTCCCATCTGTTGAGGTCCATTCCTAAGGCCTTCAGATCCCGCTTTCAGATATCCTTGTATCACAGCTGTGGTCTCCCTCTGTGGCGCTTTCCCTCCACTAATTCTCCATACAGGAGATCTTTTGGAATCTGGCTGTCAGCCATTCTCACAACATGTCCAAGCCAATGTAGACGTCGCTGTTTCAGTAATGTATACATGCTAACAATTCCAGCTTGCTCTAGGACTACTCTATTGGGAACTTTGTCCTGCCAGGTGATACTAAAAATGCGTCAGAGACAACACGTATGGAAAATGTTCAACTTGCTCTCCTGCCGTGCATAAAGGGTCCAAGACAGGCTCTATAGACCTGGATCTTGGATATATTTAGAAATGGTAATAGAGGGAGATGAGTCCACACCCTGCCCCATGACTTGTGTTTTCTTTCAGCTGATTGTTAGTCCAAAATCTTGGCAGGCCTTACTAAAATGGTTCATAAGTTGTTGGAGGTCTTCAGGAGAATGAGTAACAACAGCTGCATCATCAGCGAATAGGAAGTCCTGAGTGCATTTCAGCTGGACTTTGGTCTTCGCTTTTAATCCAGAGAGATTAAAGAGCTTTCCATTTGATCTAGCTTTCCATTTGACTGTTGCAGTTCCAAAGGCGTGCTTCAGCATGATAGCAAAAAAGATCCCAAACAGGTTTGGCATGAGGACACAGTCCTGTTTCACTCCACTTTGGATGTCAAAGGGATATGATATTGAGCCTTCATGAAAGGACCTGATGATGTTAAGGAGTCCTGAGTGCATTTCAGCTGGACTTTGGTCTTCGCTTTTAATCCAGAGAGATTAAAGAGCTTTCCATTTGATCTAGCTTTCCATTTGACTGTTGCAGTTCCAAAGGCGTGCTTCAGCATGATAGCAAAAAAGATCCCAAACAGGTTCGGCATGAGGACACAGTCCTGTCTCACTCCACTTTGGATGTCAAAGGGATATGATGTTGAGCCATCAAAAACTACAGTGCCCTTCATTTCTTCATGAAAGGACCTGATGATGTTAAGGAGTTGAGGTGGACATCCAATCTTGGGAAGTATTTTAAAAATGCCATCCCTAATAATCAAATCAAAAGCCTTTGTGAGATCTATGAAGGCCACAAAGAGTGGTTGTTGTTGTTCCCTACATTTCTCCTGCAACTCTCTGAGGGAGAATACCATGCCAGTGGTGGATTTATTAGCTCGAAATCCACACTGTGATTCTGGATAGACTCTGTCTGCAAGCACCTGGAGCCTCTTTAGCACAACACGGGCAAGCAGCTGCCCTACAACGCTGAGAAGAGAGGTGCCACAGTAGCTATTACAGTCATCCCTGTCACCTTTGTTCTTGTACAGTGTGACGGTGTTTGCATCCTTCATGTCCTGTGGTGCTCCACCTTCCCTCCAGCAAAGACAAAAGATTTCATGCAGCTCAGTGGTGATGGTCTCTTTACAGCACTTCAACAGAGATGTTATCCTTCCCAGGTGCCTTGCTGGAGGCAAGGGAATCCAAGGCCACTTTTATTTCTGCTAAAGTTGGTTCACTCTCCAACTCTTCCAAAACAGGCAGGTACTCGATGTTATTTAATGCTTCCTCGGTTACTACATTCTCTCTGGAATATAGCTCAGAGTAGTGCTGCACCCAGCGTTCCATCTGCTGTGCTCGGTCCTGGATGATCATGCCTGTAGCAGTCTTCAAAGGAGCAGATGCTTGATATCATCATACATTCCCTTCATGTTACCTGTGTCGCACTGTTATCTGTATCCAAGAGCAGAGCTGAAGCCAATAATCATTAGAACATCTCCTGGAAGTCTTTTGGACTTTGCTATGAGCAACTCGAAGAGCCTGCAAGTTGTACTACTAGGACAGGCTTTGTGTGCTGTTAGTGCTCTTCTCTTACCCTTGATGGCTGGCATCAACTCCTCCAAATGGGCTTCAAACCAGTCTGCCATCTTTTTGGTCTTCTTGCCAAATGTGGACAAGGCAGAGTTATAAACAGCGTTCTTGAAATATTCCCATTGTTCAGGTGCATTCGCACCAGCTGGGCCTTGCTTGAGCAAATTCCTCCACTTTTCTCTGATCGTGAGTCTTGCTGATGTCAATACGTGGTCTTCCTTTTTCATGTGATACAATCTCTTTATTCTCAGTTTTACTCTGCTGTACACCAGGGAGTGATCAGTATCCCAATCAGCACCCTGATAACTGTGTGTGATCGTAATACTAGGAAGGCTCGAGTGTCTAGTGAGGATCAAAAATCATGGCCAGGTGTATAGGCCAGGCTCATTTCTTTAAAGCAAGTTCCAAAATGGAGGCTACATTACTGTGGAGTTAGTTAGAGGCAGGAGCTTTCAGATTTCAACCAGGTGATGTTGGTAGCTAAAAGAGTTTCTCTGGTGTCTTTCTACATTGGTTGGTGGACATAAAATCTGTCTATGATAATGTTTTGGATGAACCTTTCTTGTTGTCTTTCTATATTCCTTTCTCCTTTTCCTTTAGAAGATGAGGACTAGCACATGGCGACCAATCTGAAAAGGGATTATGTGTTTTAAAAGCAATAGAACTGCAGAGGTGAATGAGTACAACACTTATTGATAAAAAGGTGAATAGAAAGTTTGTCTGAAGCGATCAACATTCATCTTAAAACATCTAAACATCTAGTCTACAGTCTTGCCCAAATACAAAGATGTGGATAGGCTGTGGATCTATACTGAACAGAGATCTGTGGAGAACCAGTATTGCTGACATGGTTGTTTACACAGTCATACCTCAGAGATATCACAGTTGTATCAAATTTTGTTAATTCTAAGTTGTTTCTTCTAATTATTCCCCTACCTACAGTATATAAATAAAGCCAGAAATACAAAAATGCGACCCAAACCACCTTGCTATAAGCCATATTCAACCGTAATCACAAACTGACAGGACTACTGGAAGTCTGGAATCAAAGCGAAGTAGTGTAGCATAGTTTCTTGTAATATATACAATAGTTAATACATAACAAAGCAGCAACTTCAATATCATCATAGAATTCCAGAGCTGGAAGGGACCCTGTGGATTATTGAGTCCAGCTCCTATCAAGGAGGCATAGTGAGGAATGACCAGGGGTTCCCTTTTAGCCGAATCACTTCCACCTTCTGGTTCTTGCTGCTTTCTGGAGAGGATAATTGTAGAAACATTTGGCCAAACCTCTAATTAAAACACGTGAGGAAGTACATTATTAGGCTAACAACCAAACTCCTATTGGATTCAACTTTAGATCTACTTGCACATGACTGCCTCCATGAGAGGGAAATAGGAGAGTGGTTTTTCCAACAATCTGCCTATTTGTGTGTGTGTGTGTGTGTTTTTCTCTCTGTACAAATAAACCTGATCCTCCAGCAGGAACGCCTTGCGCCTCAGACATCAGGAGTTCTTCCCTTACCATCTCATGGTATGGCTCCTCCTATGATGGTGGAAGTGCAGTGCAGTCCTACACAGTGGAAATCTGGGACACAGTAGACAAGAAATGGACAGATCTCACAACTTGTCGCAGCACTTCTTACAATGTACAGGACCTGTTACCTGACAGGGAGTACAAATTCCGGGTGCGAGCTGCTAATGTTTATGGGATAAGTGAACCAAGTCATGAATCTGATCTAGTAAACGTTGGAGAGAAGCAAGAAGGTAAGTCTGTACCACAATAGAAGATATAATAAAATATATTTCTAAACTATCTGACCTTGAATTCGCATTCTTCAAGCTAAACTGATCACTCTGCTTGAAGTGGATGTGTATAAATTAAAAACTGGTATGTTTATGCTACTGCATCTGCTTATGGTACCAGTGATTGGAAGATCTAGGCTTGGAGTCCGATTGAATGGTTGAGCGTTTGAGTCAAACTGCATGATACAGATAGTACATCGTCAGAATCAGGAATTCCTTGAATGATACAAGAAGTCTAATGTTCCTATACACAAACTTTCTCATCTTTCTGTCTTGCAACTTAGCTCACTTTGTTTTGTGATTGGTCACCAAGAGGTAAACATGGACTTTATTTATTAATCTAATTTCTCAGGCACAAAATTCTGTGAAAGTGCTGTCAACTTCTCATGATTTGTTCTCTTTAGCATCTGATTTAACAGAGAAAGAAAGAGATTGAAGGAGAATACTATGAGTTTTAGTGCTTTGAAAAGACTCTCAACTTGTGGCTTCACAGACACCACAGCAATTATTTGTCTCAGACTTATGATCTCTTATTGCATCTCAGGTACTAGTAACATTTTGCTATTGGATCAGTGGTGTGTTATGGAGGAGACTGTGTGGCATGGGACACAGTGCCATGATGTGTTGTCTAAAAAGTCCTAGGTCAAACATTAGCTTATCATCCCATATGGTGATTGTCTACAAAACATACATCTTGGAGATTCTTGTTGTCGTGCTTGGTATCTCCTTAAAGGGCTTGTTCGATAGTTCATTGAGATAGGTATCTGTGGAGCCAGAAGTTAGGAATTTGTTATTTGTTTCCCCATTTTCTACTTAGTTGTTTTGCATCGTCTTGATTCAATAATTTTTCTTAGCAGAGGTGGTGGGTACAGGGAGGAGCAGAGAACAGGGCCAGTAGAAATGCTGATGATATGGATGCTGCACATCATGTTGAATTCTGCAAGAGTTAAGCACAAAAATATAACAGATCACATCCTGAAACTTGCCCATATCTTCAAGCAAAAACTCAGAGTCTATGAACTATCAGTGTGTAGAGTTGCTGTATATATCCATCTACGTAGCACTGAGAGGTTTCATCTCTTAAAAAAAAAAACATTACTTACTTTAAGAAATTAAGTCCTTTTACCCCAGCTTTCTAACATCCAGCCCATGGGGAATGGATTATGTGTTCCAAAACCCTTTTCTTGTTTTTGAATACATTCTATACATATGCCTTTGTAGGTTTAACTGACTCCAGTATAACCACAAAGAGTTCATAATATTATCCAAAAGTAGAATAACATTGCAGTAGCTCAGAGCTATTTGATATTCAGAAGTTCAGGTCCTCCAGCTTCTGTTCACTGAGGATATCAATGGACATCTTGCTGAAGATCAGAATGCCTCTCATTTATAGACACTGAAAATACCCTAGGAGTGTTTACTTTTAAACAAGGGACAATAGAAGAGCTGGAAGTTCATAGTGGCCCAGGGGGAAAAACACGGACTGGAATGCCCCTCCCTATCACTGCTGAAACAAATTCCTTGCTAACCTTTAATCATGTCAAACAGTTTATGTTGGCAAATGGTAATGAAAGTTATTTATAACACAGAAAAGGTAATTTTTTCAGCCGCTGCTTCTTGTATTATGAAGTGTAGAATGGGGTAGGTGGGGAAAACAAGGGCGATCAGGCATGGCACTGAGCGCTGAATGGCATTTTTGCCCCCATCATTATCCTCCCAGACTTCTTGTAGCTTTCTAGCTAAACATGGAGGAAATGTACTTACCTTGTTGAGAACAGCTGGGCCTCTCCATTCTTCTCAGGCAGTCAGACATTTTGTGCTTCATCTGGATGCTTTTGGTAGGTTGTTACAGTACAGTCTTGTCCTTCTAGTGCTGCAATACAGGACTCTTAGCAGCCATGAGTTCCTTCAGGAGCCACCTACACTGGCAATTAGGCAGATCCCAAAGCAATGATAATGTTGTTTAATGATACGTATGCATCTGCAAACATATTTAGGGTTGAATATGGATAAACAATGCAATCTGGGCTTTGTGATGGGATATTTTTTAAAGAAGGCATAAAGAATGGTTGATTAAGGGGTAAAAGTAGCTAATTTTAATTGTAAATGTAGGCTTTGTTGTTGTTGGTATAGATTTATTTGCTATGTGTTTATATTCCATTCTACTGTACACCACCCAAAGTGGCCATTGGACAGATGGGCAGTATAGAAGTGCAATCAATCAATCAATCAATGTTTGTTTTAGGCCCTAAAGAAGAGGAAGAAGAAGCAGAAGTGTCTGATAATGGTAAGAAATTTGCTATTTCACCATGTTAAATTTCTTGGTTGTGGCCTTTCTTGTAACTAAATGTTTTTTCCTGCCAACTTCTAGAAGAGAAAGAACCAGAAGTAGAATATCGGACTGTGACCATCAATACAGAACAGAAAGTTACAGACTTCTACAACGTTGAAGAAAGATTAGGCTCGTAAGTGTAACACTAATAAACCATGTTATGCCCTTTTTCTGGTTGGGATTTTACGTTGTCTTGGTGAAAATATACCATCATGTTGCCTAAGACATGGGCCTGAAGGCAGTTTATACTAAACTGGGTCATATAGTATGGTATTTGACACACACTGTTAATAACAAAGAAAACAAATATCCTGGTCTCTGCCTAGGGATGTAAAGAAGCCAAATATCCCTTCTCATGGAGCTCAGTCTCACTTTTCATTTATCTAATAAATTTGCCTTTTCTTGATCTCTGTTTAGGATTCCTTCCTAGTCAGTTTGACTTTCCAGCTCTCTTTTGACAGCTGGTTCTGTCACAGAGAAGCTTATATTAGAGTATTTTAAGTATTTCTGTCCAAAATATAAGGTTTCCTCATATGAAATAATAAAATAATAAAACATAACATACATTATAGTACTGTCTTGTGTTCTCCTTAGTCTTCTGGGCCATGCTTCATAGCATCCTTAGCTGAGGCAGCCCGTCAGGTAGGATAAACTGAGATCCCAAATTCTCATTTCTTGGCCTTCTCCTAGTTTCCATTTTCTTTCCCTGTGTGGCTACCCTATGTGGCACCAGGTGTTGTGGAGGAAGAAGCATCATCCCAGATAAGAGTGGTCTAGCCGCCTAGAGTGGTCTAAGAAAGAAGCATCATCCCAGATAAGTATCAGCCTCCTCCCTCATGGATCTCTGTAGTTACTTGAAGGAAAAGTAATTTTAATGTGCAAATTACAATTGAAATTATATTGGAAATAAAATTAGGTTGCAGTCTTAAGCACACTCGGTGTGGTCACACAGGAAAATATATCACATTTTGGACTGCTTGTGGAAGGGTCCAGTGTGGTCTGTTTCACATGATGTACAAGGAATTGTGCTTGAGCCCAACCTTAACCCTTTTTGGTTCAGCTGTACAGCTACTATTTTAGGGGGCTGGGCTGTTGAAATTCCCCAACAGATGGAAGGGTTGCTTGAAGGAAGATCGCTCCCTGCAAAATGGTCTTTCCGGTGCAGTTGATCATTCGCCTTTCCAGTCACCTTATTGCACTATTACTTAGTACTGTAGTTAGTTCTCTGAGTGTATCAGTAAGACTGAATCTAAAAAGTATTCATGTGAAATATATGCCATAATTTATTTTTCAGAAATCTAACGTATAGTACCCATCTAGTTAATTCCCTACATGAAGGCACAGAAATGCCTTTTGAATTTTTTGTAGCCTCACTCTCTATATTTTTCTAATTCTGTTATTGATAGATTTCTTATCAACATGATTCCTTGATTAGGCCTACTTTTTTAAAAAAGGCACAAAATACATGTGATCTTTTGGGGTGGTCACAACCTTCTCGTGCATGGTGTTAAAAGAGACACAGGAAAGAGGGATTGGGAAAATACAGGCGAAAAACAAAGGCAAAACCAGGCCATACCTTAAAGTCTTTATGTAGTCTTCCTGGCCCCGTTGTGATGGAGCAGGAAGAAACAGCAGCTATTCAAATGTGGTTCTCTCACGTGGCCAGCGTACTGCTGTGTTGCAACAAGAAATAGTCAGCTTTATTTTATCTAATCTTGTAAATGAACTTCTCCCTTTCTTTAAAGCCTCCGGCAATGATTCCAGAAATTACTGCAGTGTCAAGAGCAACTCAAAGCTCAGAAATAGAAATCCAATTTAAGTTATGCTGTTCAGTCTGACTCATTAGACTGCATCACAGGTTCATTATATCAAACCGGTTCCCACTGCAACTAGGAGAAATCCCTTGCTAGGAGTGGGTGTAATCCTCAAAGGATACAAGCCTTAATTTAATGGCACCTTCTTAGTGAAGGTCAACTATAAATTGCTTATCTTTGGCCTCTCCCAGTTGTAGAATTTTTTTCTGTCTTAAGGACTGAGTCCTGCACTGATATTATTGGAATGTCTCTGGTATCGAAATGTCTTTTCACACTTTTTATTAGGAGCTTTTTCTGAGTCTCCATGCCTTTTTTTCCTCCCAAAATAACTGGTTTAAATTTTTATTTTAAAAAATGGGCCACTTTATGACCAGGAAGTTGTTAAGTGTCATAGGGTTTCCTGTCATTTCCTGCTAATGTATGACAGGAAACTGGGCACAACAGCCTTTGCAGTCAGGAACTGCCTCCTTGTATAGTCCTGTAGTGGAGATATATATGCAGAGAGCTCAAAGTCACCAGTGTCTATGGTGGTAATGCTGTAGAAGCACCTTGGCACCAGTTAACAGATACCAGAGGAATCCCAGTAAACTCCAAGATTCTCCATCACCAAGGGATGAAAAAGATACAAAACAAGATAGAACAAATGATATATCAGAACACACACACACACTTTTTGATTCTATGAATGCAGCTTACCTGTCATGCAATAGCACATTTCTCATATGGATTTCTTGTCAGAGATGGCCTCCCATTTTCTCAAAAGCATGGCTTCTTTTCAAACCATAATACCTTTTTAAGCCACTCATGTCTTTTTCAGTTACATATGTACAAGACTGTAATAGGTGACCCAACTATCATTAGTACCATTGGTTATACCCATAGTTTTTATTCTTGAATCTAATGGTCTCAGGTTCAACTATAAAAAGTATGGGTGTAACCATTAAATCTGGTCTGTTCAAGTGCACAGAATGAATATGTGTTGCATGGCCCATGGAATGAATGGAATGTACTTCTGAGTAAACATACATAGGGTCACGTTAATATAGGATAGAATCCTGTTTGCAATATTGCAGACCATGTGCATGCAGAACACTTGTATACACTTAGCTTTGGAAGATTCATTTCTTAATTATTATTTAGAGGTTGAAGGTCACTTGATTGTCACTGATAGTTATCACTTACTTATTTGTTTACTTATAGGAATTTGGATGGAAGAGTATCTGAAGGGTGAGAAATATACTAAAAATGGCCAGAAATGTTACCATGAAAATGGTAAAGAACAAAATTTAACAGGAAAAAAAAGATTCAGAGTGAGGGTTTTTTTAAAAAATTACCTGATCAACCCAACTCTTCTTTTCAATGCTTGTTGAAACAGAAATCCTTTAACATTCTGGCAGAACTTCAAGAGTGTTGGGAACGGATAAATCTTTCCGGGGAAAGAACTACACAGTCTGGGCAGTAGCCAAGAAGGTTCTGTCCCCGGTATTCTGGCGTCTACATTTAGAAGACAAGAGTTGGACCTCACCTAAGGATCTAGAGTAGATTGGGAACATGTGACCTTCCAAATGTTGCTGAACTACAGATCCACCAATCCTTGTCCATCAACTAGGGCCAATGGAAGTAAAAAAACTAACAATACCTAGAGTGCCTCATATTTCTCACTCCTGATTTAGAGAGCAAGTAGACTCACAGGAGAGAAGATTGTTCAGAAAGGTTATGTATCTTACCAAGAGTTTTCAGAGACTTTCTGTAGCTTTAAATTATAATAACATTTAGAGAGGAGGAAAAAAAACAGCTGTAAAAGACAAAAACATGAAACTGCACTGGCACATTGCATTTTGAGATATTTCTCTATGTTAACAGAAGTTCTTCACTTGCTTTGGAAGTTGAGTCATGGCAAATGGACTTCTTTCTTATTAGATTGAAATGTTTCACAACTCATCCAAGTAGCTTCTTCAATCTGAGGAAAGTTGGTAAGAGACCCCTGATATATCCTCCATATTGGTTTCACCAAGGGGGAGTGAGTGAAATCCCACTTCAGCAGTCCTTCTCCACCCATTGTCATGGGTCATTATTAACAGTGGTTTTTCTGGTGGGTGTGGTCATGATCTTTCTGGGGATGGATGAAAGGACAGCATGATAAATGGGAGACACACCCTGTCCTTTTCCATCTAACGAGCCTATTCAGACCAAGGGGAAGTGAAACCAACATGGAGGGTATATCGGGGGTCTCCTACCAACTCTCCTCAGACTGAAGAAGCTGCTTGGATGAGTAGTGAAACGTTTCAACCTAATAAGAAAGAAATCCAGGTGTGAGTGCGATGACTCCAGATAACCTCACCTGGATGAGAATCTTCACAAATATATTCTTCACTTGCTTCTAATGCTTCCTAAAGTCGTACCTGGGACTACCTCTCTTTTAGTTCATATAAGGAGATTTGCTAAGTATGTCTGAAACACTGTATTGTTGTAGCTGTCTTTCTGTCTAGTTCTTCCATACCTCCCCAGTGCAAGTAATCTTACACAAATTCAAACCACATTTTTAATAAAATCTGACTTTTTTAATATGGGAGAGGCCAAAGGCTCTGTGATCAATTCTTGGCATCCTGTTAAAACTCATATATCTGGTATTATGGAATGCCTGTGTGAGAGAGACACTGGAGAGCCATGGCCTATCAAAGTAGACAAAACTGGACTAGCCAGACAGAGAAGGTGTCTGACTTGGTATGCAGCTGATTTTTCATGCATGTGACTATAGCACCATGTGCTTTATCATTTATTTGCATTGGACTTGGGGCCAGAGGTTGAAGTCATTCCTTTTTAAAATTCTAGCTGCCAGAGTCTCCCAGCACTGAGCTCAGTTTAGGTATCTCAATGCCCATCACCAGAGCGATCACCAGAATTATCACGTGAATAATTCCAGAGCACCAGGAAGCATGTTCTGCAATATTGTTTTCAGAATGCATTACTAACTGGTCGTTAACCGCTTAACTCATTTCATGAGGATTTTCTGTATTTCTCAGGGGCAAATTTGGACAAGTTTTCCGGCTTGTTGAGAAGAAAACTGGAAAAGTGTGGGCAGGAAAATTTTTTAAAGCTTATTCAGCTAAGGATAAGGAAAACATACGGCAAGAGATCAGCATTATGAACTGTCTGCACCATCCAAAGCTTGTCCAATGTGTAGACGCTTTTGAGGAGAAAGCTAACATTGTCATGGTCTTGGAAATGTAAGTGCAAATGAGACTGTAGAAGGAAAAGTGGCAGCATTAATATTTTGGAACTCATTTGAAGGCTCCCTGGTTCTCTAACAAAGCTGCAAATTCTGCTACTTGTTGTTAATGATGTTACTTGCCCTTGGAAGGCAGATACCACATTCTGCCAAAAGTGGAAATAAGTTGTGAAGATTTTGACTTGGGATAACTTGCATGTTATTTTTGGATCTCTCTTTCCACTCTGTCCCATTCCCTCTCCATTGGTTGCTGCACTGGTTGGCATGGATCCATTCGTCCCAACTAGCAGCAGAAGTAATGAGTGCAAAGAAGTATGTGAGCATCTTAGATGTCACAGGTCTGCAGGACAGATTTGGCTTGCACGATGCCTGTTGATCATCACTGTTGTATCCTGATGTTTCCAGCTACTGCCTGAAACAGCTTTTCTCAACCTGGTGCATCCCAGATATATATATCTCCTATATCCCAGATATATTTTACTGCAAATTGCTGTGTTCCTGACCATAGGCCATACTGATTGGAGCTGATGGAAGCCCAAAACATCTGGAAAGTACCACCCTGTCCTCAAATACAAATAACACAAAGGTGAAATGAAATATATGGTTAAAGAAACAAGTTGACTTGTTATTTTAAGATTTTTTTTCCTCTCTGATTTTGGTTTAGAAAATGCTAAATGTCTTAGGGGAGAGGGCAGTTTCTGTTTAAAACATATCTTGGTATGATAGAATTAAGCCATTCTTTGTGACCTGTACATCTGTTAGGACAATGCACCATTTCTTTTAGAAAGGAGAAAATATCCGAGATGTGACTTGTCTGACTTGATTTTTGACCTACTCACAATAATCCATGATTGCCATTTCTTCCTTTGAGATCAGCCCCTTTGGTGATTTCAGGGATCCTTTAGTTTTCTGTCATTGGCTTTCTCGGTGCTAAGTATGTATCTGCCTTCAGGGAAGTACCTTGTACTGTCTAGCCCCATTTCACATGATCATCATGCTGTCAGTGTTGACTGTAATTGTCTTTGCAGTAGTAGCAATCAAAGGTGATTATCTGCTGTTGCAGAGGAATTTGCAGTGGTGTTGTGTCTTTCATTTCACTTAAAACGTTTGAGATATGTATCATACTTCCTTTGAGTAGTCCAAAATAAGCTAATGTATTCATACTGACAGTTGTACTTAGTTTTTGCTACTAAGTTCCACATAATTCAAAATGCAAATAAACATTCTATGTATTTAAACAGATAATGGGAGCTAGACAGCACTTATATCAAACCTTTTCTGGATCTATTTGAGGGGTGCACTTAATCACTAAGATATGACTAATAAACAGAAACAATTAAGCAGTAAATACGTATAAATATTTCTGTTTATTAGTCATTGTTACAAGTATATATGAATTCTACTTAAATATGTCACTGAATGCATGTGTGTGTAGCCAATTTTCTCTTTTGATCTGCTTTTTGTGTTCCAAATCTTGGGTTTTATTGCAGGTTCTCTGTGGAGACTACAAGCAATGGAATCTATGAAAAAGCAAATAATTTCTACCACTGTTATGTAATGCAGAGTCTTACTTAATTGTGTGTGTGCGTGTGTGTTGATTTAGGCATATGGGACTTAATAGGTTGAGTAGGAAGCCAAATTTAAAAACCTGTCCAATGAGATCAGTCTAACCTTTGACTTTATTTTGTAGCTTTATGAAAATAAGTTGGGCCTTTTTTTCATACTCTTCCTTTCCAGGACTATCCTTTTTTAAAACAGAAAAGAAGAAAAAGGTTGCCATTCATTTTCAAACAATAAGGACAGTTTCAAGGCCTTTATTACATAAAAATAAAGACCATAGCAGGAACAAACTCATATTTTACAGTATGTTTCCAGTCTTTTAATACATTGACTGAAATAGCAAGTGGCAACTTGACTATGCTCACTGAATCAATGGGCTTACTCTAGCTGTGGCTTACTTCCGAGTTTCAGCCATTACCTTTTAAAGCTAAGAAGGGTCTAGTTAGTGTTCTCCTTGGGTTTTTGGCCCTTATGGAAAGAAACCGGCAAAGCACACCTTATTTATCTACCAACCCCTGACAGTGGAGTCTGTTTTTCATTTTTGTGCTCACTTCCTTCCATTAAAGGTTAATTTCATCTCTCTACTACCATCCGCTAAAATGTCCACTCACAGTCCATAATTCCCCAAGAGATGTGCACATGAGTTATATATCTGTCTCCCTGCTTCTCCATCTGCCTGTCTCTGTAGCTAGCTAGCTAGCTTGGAAAGTTACTTATAAAAAGAATATATAGAACAAAAGGCTGTGGCTGAGTAGTGGTAGAATGATGCTGTAGATACTGGAGTCTCATCTTGTGGCTGCTCAGTTCTCAGGGTAAATGACAAGGACCTGCATCCATACTTGTGCCCCAAGGTAAATTATTGGGACGTCAGGATAGTCACAATGCGAGTGAGCAGGAATTTCTCTGTATGGCCTGTGAGCATGTGAACTGGGGAGGGAGTGAGCAGGAATTTCTCTGCTTGACTCAGTATGGCCTGTGAGCATGTGAACTGGGGAGTGCCAGTGCTCCGTTTCAAATGTTTGTGAGGCCCTTTCTGAGGAATATTTTGGAAGCCTTTTCCAATCCAGCACAGAGTATCTGGGGATTAGAAACAGGTGGTTAAGACCTCCCTATTCACATACGTCCCAGGAGTACTCAGATCATAACCTCATTAATGTAATTATTCACACGTTCCCATCTTTGGAGTAGCAGCAGCAGCAGCACTGGGGAGGGACCCTTGCTCCTCTTATTAATTTATCAAAGATTTGGACCAGAAGGAGCTGCCGTATGCTGCTTTCTATTTTACCTGGTTCAATAGAAGGATGAATAAACCAATGTTGTTGTTGCCTGGTCACTGGGGTGTGGGGTTCAGGTAACTCCAAAACATTGTTTCTCAACCTGATGCCCTCCAAATATTTTGGACTAGAACAGTGGTCACCAACCTTGGGTACCTCAGGGTTTTTTTGGATTCCAACTTCAAGAAACTCTCACCAGCGCAGCTGGTGGTGGTGGCTTCTGGGAATTACCGTACAGTCCAAGAACACCTGTGTAACAGCCACTCTCAAACCTCAAAGAGTGGTTGCTACTTTACTTTAAAACTCTGCTGCCACCAACTTATCCTTGAAAAATCAAAAAAGGACAAGTGTAACTTTTCAAAACAAAATCTGGTTTATTGATTCCAAAAATAAGAATGGTAAATCACAGGTAAAAATCAAGTAGTCAATCACTGTTAATAAAAACACTGGCTCACACAGACTTTTCTTCACTGACAGGCTCACTCACTCACTCTAACTACTAATCACTTTAAACTCTCAGCTCAAAACTCTCATCTGCTCTCACACACTCTTCACCCCTCCTTTTTATATCAGCTCCTCCCCTTAAGTTCCACCCTCCGTCACACCATTGGCTGATGACTCACTGCCCAGCTGTGACGGACAGGTGATGCTATGGCTGCCCATTACAACCTGGGACGCCCAAGATTGAGAATCACTGGACTACACACATGTTGGTCTGGAATGATATGGCTGCAGCCCAGAATATATGGAAGACGCCAGAAATAATGTACATGTCCTCGCCACCACCACCTGGTCACATATCTAAACTGTATACAAGATACAGCAATACCGGCATGATGCAGAGATGATATCTTTGTTATGTAATGTCCATGAATTGTTTTATTTTTAGGTTTTAAATTTGACCAGGTTGGTGATAGTGGGGTGTGTATATATATTTATAAAGTGATCCTGTTTAGCCTGGAATTGGGAACTGGCAGTGCTAATGGAAAACAGGAGGAATGTATGACATGTGTTGGACTGCATACAACTTGGTACAGCATTAATTTATTCTACCTCCTGACCCTGCAAAAAGAAATTTTAATGGAGTACATGAAGATTAAAAAGCATTTCAGCTATATTAGCTTGTTATGCACAGTCATTTTAGGTCAGACTGAATGCCAAAGAAAATTCATATATCTTTGTTTTTCTGAAGGAAATTATTATTATTTTTAATGCCTGCCTAGAACAAACTGCCATGTTAGTGTACAGATGGCTACAGCGTTATCCAAGTAAGGATACAAACACCTGATAGAAAACATGATTTCTAAGAGGAATCCCCTCTTTTCTTTTGCATGACAAAAGACTTCTTCTAAGAAGATGGCTACAATGACAAGTCTAAAAACAAAACCAGTGGGTTAGGCATATGCAGCTGTAATTAATACTGTACATTAGTTAGTTAAATAATTAATTGATCTAGTAATATTATTAATTTAAAATTATGAAGATTTCTTTAAATTACACCCAGTGTGAATGGATATGACTGTTGTGCAACTTGGAATCTTTTAACCATCAGTGGCTCACGCTAGGAGGGGGGCACCTTACACCACCACAGCAAGACCTCCCAATATTGTTGACCATAGTGACAGGAAACCTGTGCTGGGAAAATTAACCATTAATTATTCTAAGCATGACCTTGCAGTGCACAGGATTTCTTTTCATTTGGTTCCAATAAACCCAGGAATTTTGAATAATTAAGTACAGTTTAATTTTAAATGAGAAACTAGCAATTCATTGTTGTCAGACTCTGGTGTTGTGTAAACATCCTTCCACACCTTTCTTGGATAACGCTGTAGCCATCTATACACTAACATGGCAGTAATTCAATTCTTCAAAAAACCCTCCAATTTATGAATGTGGGATATTGTGTTTTTGTACCCATGATTCAGAAAGCCAGAAAATGGCTCAGTATCGTGCCCGTGTTGCCAACAGATAAAAGGATGTCAGGCTTTACATAGCAAAGGGCAGCCTAAATGTCGACAACACCAATGGCAGTAATCAAGATTCTAGGATTCTCTCTAGTGCTCACTACCATTCACAAAGTGATGCCACACAAGGGAAAATCCTAGAAGCTGACTTCTTTTTTTTTATCAGTTAACTACATCTCACCCAAACACAAAGCAATAGTCAGGGCTGTTTTTCAACTGTGAAACGTAGCGGGCTGTCTTGTGAGGTAGGTCAGACTAAGAGGCATGACTAAGAGGCCTAATGTCACCCAGTTAACTTCACAACTGAGGGATCTCAATCTAGGTCTCTCCATTTATAGTCCAGGACTCTAACCACCACCATGCAGGTGCAGTATCTTACTCACAGGCCAGACTCTTACTGGGGATTTATGCTAGCATAAGTGTAATTGTGTAAATCTTGACAGTGAATTGTTGTTAATTAACAAGTTGTTGCTTACATTCCTTGTCACATGCCACTCACAGAACCAGAGGCATGGAGAGGAATGCAAAGTAGCACCACACTAATCAGTGGCAACTTGCTGCCATGGTTGATATACCGGTAATTACAGAAACACTGGCATAAATCCCCAATAGTATTCTGTGTACAGAATCTTTTCATATAAAATATTGCTGTATTGTCATTACTAAGAAGACAAAAGATAGATAACAAAGCGAAGTGACCCTTTTCATTAGAGGAAGTGTTGGGAAAGAGCAGAGGCTTTCCCTTTCCCTTTAAAAGAATTTTTATTCATTCGGCTGGTAGGAATGCCGGTATGAAAAGTTATATCCTGTAGAGCAAAAGAGATCTTCTGAGCTGTGACTGGGATGGACTGTATCTCTCACACAGATCATATTATGTATCTTTCCTTTAACCAGTTGACATGTAAATCAGAGCAAGTATTGCTCTGTTACTTCTGACAATTTATTAATCAGTTCTGTTTGGTTTATCAACTGTGGCTCTTCCTTGGCAGGAATAGTTTAAAAACAGTGGTACCTGCATTAATAACTACACAATTGTATTACTTTGCATGAAACATGGAGCCATCCTTGAAAATGATGCATGAACAGGTAGTACAGAACCCAGCTGTTGAGATTCTAAAGTTGGCATACCTAGGTAAAGTTGTGTTAAATCAGCCTACTAATAGGGTAGTCAGAGCAGAATTTTTCTTAGCACCTTCCATAAGAGAAGTGAACTTAAAATCTACAGAAGAAAATGTCTTCTTGGAGGTGGTATTGACTTTGGAATGCCCCCCTGTGAGAGGCTAACAATATTCAATTTACCAGATTAAAACCTTTCAACTTGCGCTGAAATTTTAAAATGTTTAAGCTGTTATATTTTAATTTAAATCTGAATGTTTAATACTTGTTGATAACTTTAAGTCTCTTAACGCTGCTGTTTATGTTTAATTCTTTTTTTACACTGGAGTTTATGGATTTATGGATATTGTACAGTTTCATTCCTATATATATGCATGCATATTGGGTGGGAGGACCTTTTGACATTAAAGCACTGCTCTAGTTTATGTATGTCTCTTCACTGCATTATGCAAGACAATGTATCTAAAAGTTAAAATCCATAAGAAACTCTCTTTTTATTTATTTATTTATTTTTTAGTGTTTCTGGCGGGGAGCTCTTTGAGAGAATCATTGATGAGGATTTTGAGCTAACAGAGAGAGAGTGCATTAAATACATGAAGCAGATCTCAGAAGGTGTACAGTACATTCATAAACAGGGGATTGTTCATTTGGATTTGAAGCCTGAAAATATTATGTGTGTCAACAAGACGGGTACAAGAATCAAGTTGATTGACTTTGGACTTGCACGACGACTAGGTAAAAATACCCCTGAGTTTATCTAAAAGAAGAGTGGGCAACTTGATGAATAATTTTTATCATGTGAAGATATCTCAAGTCCTCAGGACTATTTCATTTCATTCAAAACTGGCATGTCTTTCCTCTTGTGTAGTTTGCATGATGCTCAAAGCTTGCTAGAAAGCTACAGAGTCCTGCGTTTTGGATCTCCCCCATTCATTTAGATTTGCATATCCTGAGATTCCAGAGCTGCATGATGAAAGTTTTACTCTGGGCCATCACTGTTCTTATTCACCAATGGGGACTGTCACATTAGGCTTCAGCAGGCAAAATGAGATATATGGGGAAGGGACAGAATAAAGCAAGTTCAAATGAGGATTTTTGTTGTTGTTGTTAGGTATACAAAGTTCACAGTTCTTTGTGAACTCCAGTGCAAACCAAAACTGATGCTTGCTTAAGTGAAATCCCTTAAAGGTGCTGTTTGTGTTCCTGGTTGCCTGTCTCATCATGCAATCAGGTGCATGCCCAGGACTTCATTAATAAATAGCCATTTTCCACTGTGATGTATCATGTCAATTTAAATATGCATTGCCAAATGGATACTAACCACTACAGTAAAAAATATATGCTTGTTTAAATATATATTTATGCTCTCAATTTTGTGCACATTTTTTTTAAAAATCATACATGATCACATAATGAGCAGAATGAGGAACACAGCCAGAATTAGAATGGACTGAAAATAAAGGGCTAGATCCCCAAATCATCATCATTTTAGAACTGCAAGGTTGGAAGGGGCCATATGGATCATTGAGGCACTATGGGGAATCAAACTCCCAACCTCTGGCTCCACAGCCAGATACCTAACCTCTGAACTTTCCACCAGTTCTAATGAAGATGTCTTACAACAAAATGACACAGGACATATAATTCATAAAGAAATATAGCAGTGAATAGAAATCTGAACATTAATACTATGGGTTTTTCAGGCTCTTTGGCCGTGTTCTGAAGGTTGTTCTTCCTAACGTTTCACCAGTCTCTGTGGCCGGCATCTTCAGAGGACAGCAC